TCATCCAGTTTGCTGACGCTGAAGATGTGCATCCAAATATTTGTAATGGAATTGAATCAAATATCATCACAAGATTGTTTCACAATTTATATGAAAGAGATGGAAAGGTGCACTTTCTAATTTCTCCTCATTTGAAAATCATGTTAATTTTTCAAGGAAAGTAATCAGTGAACAGGCAATTCATTAAATAAACTGTGGAAATGTTGAGTTAACACATTTTCAGGTTCTTGAAAAACAGGTATTTCAAAAATCTATTCGAACAGTGGAAAGAGATAAATGAACAGTAATGAAATTTAATAAATTTCAACTTTGATGTGAATATTTTGAATTTATTCACCCTCTCGATAATTTCTACTGCAAAGCTTTTCTATGCGATTTTTGTTGCAATAGTAACTTGAAAATCAATACTCCCCCGTACAGACAGCTTGTTATTTATCGAAAAATATTCAATTATGCTACCAAATGAAATGGATGAAATTAAAATATTCCTTCTGAAATATATGCAATTTAAATACCAGCAAGATATATAACGATGTACATATTTTTGTGAAATCCTCACTCAGAAATACCATTTCAGAGCAAATGACTGCCATTCATCATGTTCATTAAGTCGCCTATTTCCATTCAAGACTATCTCGCAGGGAGCAAAAACCTCCGAACTGGAAANGAGTCACAAGTAACGAGACGTTCTCTGGAAACTCGAGGAAACCTATTTTTAATAATTTTTTCATCTCGGAAGAGAATGGTGTCTTCACCTTACACTATTCTACTATTTAATCAATGGAAATATTCAAATTGAAAATTTTTTTTCCATTCTGTTTCAAAATTCTAGTGATTTTTCCAATCCTCGAAGCACATGTGATATGCACTTTTTGGTATGTCTTTTAGCACTGTCAGCGATTTGATTTTTTATTTCCTCAATCGTCGCAAAACGCCATCTTATCATGTGTCTCTTCGATCTTGGAGAAACGAAAAAGTCACAGGGGGACAAATCTGGGGAATACGGTGGCTGAGGCATGATTACGGTGTTGTTTCTCCACAATACTGGACGCTTTTTTCCGTATTGCTTCTCGCTTCTCGCAAGCAGCGTATAACTTCAAGATAATACTCCTTATTGACCATACGACCAAGTTACAAAAACTCCTTATGGACAACGCCACGGTAATCGAAGAGAACAATGAGCAAAACTTTGATATTTGATCGACCGTGACGTGTTTTTTTTGTCTTGGCTCTTCCATTGGAATGCTTGGACTTTGATTAGATCTGGATCGCCTCCTACAATTCCTACGCGATGTTCATGCAACGCTTTTTTTTTTGGTCAAAATTCAGCAATTTTGGAACGAACTCCACTGCAACACGTGAGATCCGCAGAGATCACCTTCTGCGGAAACACGAGGATAAGCCAATGTATGGGGTCTTCTTCAATAACATTGGAGACCTTGGCTTATCAAAGCGCCTGACTTTCGCTTTCCTCAGGTCGAGTGGATTGAAGTCGGAAACTGAGGGGTTCATCATGGCTTACCAGGATGGTGTCTTCAACACCTTAGTCTACCGCAGTCGCGTGATGGGTATAGAGATTCCTGACACAAGGTGCAGGGCCTGCCGCGAGGCGCCTAGGACACTAATGCAGTTGCTATCAGCATGTCAGCATATGCGGTCTCGGCCTATATCCATCGAAATAAGGCAGAAATCTCAGCAGAATAGATGCAGAAAGCTGTCATTCTTGGATCACTGCGTTTTCTCAGGGCACATGATTCTTGGACCCAATGATCACTCACTCCACGGTGTGTGGAGTGGTCGTTGGTTGATAATGCTGGCGCGCTCTTCTGAATGTATCAGAGCGTCGGGGGATAGGGCCTGACCAGCGCCTACTACGGTATTCAACACAAAATTCAAAACAGAAAGAATCCAATGTAGCGCCCATAAGAAAAAACATAGTTGATGATGGTGGCCGGAAAACGAAACGTCTGATAGCAAATCTGAAAATTCATTATGTAGCAGGGAAAAAGTGGCAATGTGGTAGTGCAATTTATTTTCGAATACTTCGAAAAATAGAGCCAGAAAAAAAATCCGAAATTTCTGTTTTTTTTTCGGATATCTCCGGATATACTCGGAATTTTTGAATTCTCTCAAGGGCATATTGTTAGTCAGATAAATACACAGCTTTGCTCCGATTCAAACATCTTCGTATCTCTCATAGTTTCCGAAATCCCAATGGTGAGGATCGTACAAGGAGTATGAATATGCATATTTTTCATTGTTTTTCATTGAATCAGTTCATTAATAGGTGTTCAATGAGAAATTATATTCTTATTGATATATTGCTTCGTCATTCTCATTCACAGATGAATTCTGCAATGCGCATGTTACTCATTGTTAGCTGAATATTCATGTCCTTGACTCAATATTTCAAAATTATAGAATCAGCACACCTCATATTTGATTCAAAGATATCATCCATAATAAAATGTTTCATAGAAACAATATCGATTTCACATCAAATATATATTAGCCTACACTTTTGAAAGAATGCGTAGGATTTTCCACTTATTTCCATTTATGAAACACAAATGAATGGAAATTACACGAAAAATCTATATCAATAAATATTTCTGGAAGTCGACAAAATATAACCAAAAAGTAACTGACTATGTACTGACTATGTACTGATGGCACAGACGTTACCAAGAATGTGACAAATCTAAAATATCAATGTTTCTATGATGCAAAACATCAACAAAACTTAATGAAACATGTTTCGAGAATAATTTAGCGACACTAAAAGTAAACGAGTCATTTCACACACATAGTAATATGTCGACAGCAGCTGATTTTAAACGGTTCGCGAACTTGTTCAAAAGAAAACAAGTGAATATAAAACAGTTTTTTATGTATATGATAAATGATAATATAATAGATTTGCATCTGGAAATTATTACGTCAACTGGAAATTATTACGTCTACTCTATCACAACTCGAAATTCCAAATAAAAATCACAGTTCTCTTCGAAAATTCAATGCGGCAGAATCCTGAGGAAATAATACCTTGTCTGGACCACCAAGATTACTTAATCTGAGAGATGAATTCAGAAAAATAAAAGATAGTTTCCTCCGCCCATTTTGGCCGGTGAAGCAACACTGCAACATTCAGTATATCATTCCAAATATTTTATGGAAATCCATCTTATCAATTGCACTCTCAGCTGGAGCTTTCCACGAGATTTGCAGATCCATTGTTGATCATTTTAAGTGAAATCAAAAAATGTGATAGCCGACAATTTTTCAAAAGTCTTGAATGACAAAAAAGTTGTTGCAATTTTTTTTATCTCTCCCAAAAAGGGAACGAATGGGTTCATGATAATTTCTCCCCAACTGAAATAATAAAGTAAATATCTGTAACGTGTTAACTACTGATATCGAAATTAGGCAAAGATAAAATTTTCTTTATTTCGGCAAATTTTACAAATTCTATGGAAATTTTTTTGCAAAAGATATTTCAAAAATTATTTATTATTATGAATCTGTCGAATGTATCAAAGTAACTTACCGTGTTAGGAATCACACGTTAAAAAGTAAGACCTCGTTAGTCCTTAGCTCGCACAGGTTTCTCAACTTCTGAGAGTTGTCGTTCGTATGGGGGCGACAGCTGATTAACGGGTTTGAAGATAGTCATAGTTTGAAACTGCATCCTAACGTTTCGCCATCGCAAATGGCTGGCTTTTTAAGAGGTTTGTTCATCTCGATGATCCACCAATTTATAGAATGTATCAAAGTTACATCTGAAAACTGCCATTAAAACTTCGTAGGAGGGAAGAAAGACTGATACAAAACCATGAAAAGTTTCATTTCTCACGATAACTTTCTCCATAGCTCTTTCTTCAATGTACCGAGAGCAAGCTCTTATTTACAGCGTCTGAAGACGACATACGAAGACATACGAAATATTCATCTCTCTCAACTACCTACACAGTGGGTTTTGTTTTTCTAGTTTCGTTTGGAGCTATCTTTGATTGAATATAAATGTTAACTGTTTTCAAGTAAAACTTCATTATCACATTTTAATTGCTTTTAGATTTTGAAATTTTACCGAATGACTAATTATTTTTAAATAATTCCCTATATGCCACTATATGTCCATTCGAATGAATTTGTAATTTTTTTCTGAATTTTGAATTGGTTATTAGTTTATCCCTAATCTCAGGTAAAGTTATTTGGTTGATAGGAAGTCATATAATTCAAATTGTTAATTTATATGAAAAGCACTGATAAGATAGGATTCAGTAGAAAGAAACACGTCAGTGAAACACGTTCTGCGTTTTTGTGGAATATAAGGGAAAATAAAAAGATTTTATTTGAATACGTTACATATTTTAATTAAATATCGACCAATGCTATTGAATATGGTAACTGTTTTGTTTCTTGTTTTCTTAGAAAAGAACAATCCTATACAATAGTGTTCTATTGCTGTAGGTGTTGATGTGAATTGCCCCAAGAATAGTTCAGGAAATGTCAATCACAAATTGGACATATCTTATTCTGTGTTTGGATGAGTGAAAATTATAAAAATTTCCATAAGGTCAGTTGAATAGATCAATAAATTTTGATAATAATGTAAACAAACTTTTTTCAAAGAATTGAAGGAAAATAATAAACAGAAAATTATGTGACAAAAATATTCCGTTTCCCATTTCAATTGAGTTGGGTGGCACTTCAACACCTACATCTATATGCTTTCCATTAGTGAACCGAAAGATAATCGTGATATACTTGAATTTGTTTGTTTGGTTGAGTGGCGCACTTTGACTTTATTGATTACCACAGAAATACAACTCTCACAACTTCTAATCCGGCTCAAGAAATAATTTACTGGTTATCTATCTTCAATGAAGTTGGCAGAGCCGTACTTGCCCATTTGCCACACTCCCAACACTATTTTCGCACTTTTGACACCTGAACTCCTCAGAACATATTTCATTAATCTCTCCTTTTGTTTGTTTCAGTTAATTATCGTCGGAGTTTGGATCACGTGTATACTATACAGTTCTCCGAAGTTTTATTGGGGTAGCACAGTAACAGTTCCCTCGGGAAACAGCAGTGAAACTTTGTGCGTTCTCGATAGGCAGAAATACAATTCTGAATTATTCGATATGATTCATTTCGTGCTGTTCTATGTGATACCTCTGGCAGTTATGTCGGTGAGTATTGAAATAGCACTGTATTCATTTTATTTAATATGAATATTTTCCATAGGATTGTGAATATTCAAAATATCAGTGTCGACTGGAAAACGACATTGAAAATGTTTCGAAATTTGAAACATAAGTGTGTCTTCGGCATGTCGACAGAAGTGATAACTCAAACTAGTCAATATTTAAATTTTTCAACTTGAGAAAAGCTCAGGTACTTGTGATGCACTGTTTGTGATGGCTCTTTTATGAATAGAATTCCCCAGCTTCACGGTGTGCTCAGCGGCATAAATGTGAACAATACTCCAAAGAAAGTCTGAACTGAGCTTTATAAAGCTGAGGTGTGGACAGTTTTCTGGTTCGAGACAGTGTTATATCCGATTCATACCGGCACTGTTTTCCCAATTCAGTATAACATACTTCATGTGGGAGCGTAAGCAAGACATTTTTGCTGCAGTGGTCTATCATATACTTTATGCTGTAGCAACAACTTCTCAATAGTTCTCAATAGTTATATATGACTTACCCATTGCATATGTTTGTCGAAAATTAATCCCAAAAATTTCAACTCAACACTACAAGTTATTTGTTTTTCTGTATTTTTGAATGACACAGGTGATCTTTGTTTGGAGCGCCCAAAAATACTGTGACTGTTTTGTTATGACTGTAAGAGACAATTCTTTTCAGACCAACGAATGATATCCTCATAAATCTTCTCAGTTTCACTCAGTAGCATGTCTATACTTTTTTCAAAAATCAGTAAACGGGTATCGTCTGGATAACACACTATTTTTATATTGTAGTTTCTTTCCATTAGACGAATTATATCATTTACAAATATATTGAACAATAAAGGTCCCAATACAGATCCTTGAGATACACCTCGATTTATTTCACGGTAACTACTCAGAACTTCATTCAGTCTAACAACCTGACTTCTGCCATTTGAATATGATTCAAATGACGATTCCAACTTACTACATAAAAGCCTATGATTGATAAGTCGAAAGCTCTTGGAAAGTCAATGAAAAGACCCAAAGCATATTTTCCTTTATCAACATTGTCTACAAGACATTTTTGAAAATCACACAGAGCAGATTCTGTGCTCATATTTTTACAGAATCCCTGTTGATTTCCACAAGAATGATGAGAGTTGATTAGTGATGTCCATTTCAATGTGTCTAGAGAGACTTTACAATAAACTGATGGCTATATAATTGGGAAAGTCATCAGAATCACCTTTTTCGTATAATGGCAGGACCACAGCTGGTGATACAAGCATTCTGGGAAAATTCCTTCAGAGTAGCATCTGCAATTCCAGTGACATGATTGTGCCAAGATATATTGATTTTCATTTCAACCCCCAACAAACTTATCGAAGCAGGGAGAGAAATTGTCTGTCATGACATTATTATATTAGGTTCGGAGACATTTATCTTTTTGGAGAAAACTGATGTCTGGGTTTTCGTGTCACTGAATTGAACCTGGTTACTTTCACCATAATTCGAAATCACCTCTAGAGATATCCATCGACGGCCACTTGCAGGAAACGTTCTTTCTGGAAGCTGGAGAACCATACACGAAAATGATCCGACAAACCATAGCATCGAAATTTGGTCAGCAAACCCTCATGTCACACACGGTCAAAGGCTTTAGAATTATCAAGCGCAACAGCTCTCGACTCTCCATGTTTCTCGATTGTGTTCGAGTTCATTGGAGCACTTTCTAAGTACGATGACGGGTAGAACCAGACTCTTTGTGATATCAAGCCATTTTCAAAATTCGCCTGATTAGACGTTGTCGAAAAGTAATTTCCGGCGTAGGGGATTCTAGTGTGGATTCAGTATATCAACTGTAATGTGGGACGCAAAGTGTTAAGCTAGTAGTTCTGCTTTTTTCATAGCCGTTGCTGCAATTGTAGTAGTAGTGCTATTGTGGTTTTGGCAAAGTTTTGATCAACAGTTGTAGTTGAGAATTCGTGTCTGGTACACTCGTCAGTTTTCTTGTTGCCCATGAAGCCTGAGAGTCCTGGCATCAAGTATATAGTCAATAAAAGCACGTAATATTTATTTATTTATCATGTGAAACGTGCCAATCAAAAAACCCAATATTTTATTTTTATAAAAAATCTGACAGAGAATCGAATTGGTGAATAATCAGGTCATCCTGAAAAGTGATGTGTTCCTAAATCCAGTTTGCTGACGCTAAAGATGTGCATCCAAATATTTGTAATGGAATTGAATAAAATATCATCACAAGATTGTTTCACAATTTATATGAAAGAGATGGAAAGGTGCACTTTCTAATTTCTCCTCATTTGAAAATCATGTTAATTTTTCAAGGAAAGTAATCAGTGAACAGGCAATTCATTAAATAAACTGTGGAAATGTTGAGTTAACACATTTTCAGGTTCTTGAAAAACAGGTATTTCAAAAATCTATTCGAACAGTGGAAAGAGATAAATGAACACAAATGTAATTTAATAAATTTCAACTTTGATGTGAATATTTTGAATTTATTCACCCTCTCGATAATTTCTACTGCAAAGCTTTTCTATGCGATTTTTGTTGCAATAGTAACTTGAAAATCAATACTCCCCCGTACAGACAGCTTGTTATTTATCGAAAAATATTCAATTATGCTACCAAATGAAATGGATGAAATTAAAATATTTCTTCTAAAATATATGCAATTTAAATACCAGCAAGATATATAACGATGTACATATTTTTGTGAAATCCTCACTCAGAAATACCATTTCAGAGCAAATGACTGCCATTCATCATGTTCATTAAGTCGCCTATTTCCATTCAAGACTATTTCGCAGGGAGCAAAAACCTCCGAACTGGAAACAAAATGAATCCAAACAAGATGAAACATGATACACAATCACTCAAAACAAAATTAGAGTCAGAAACTTGTACGCGTAATCATTCTCTTTCATAATATCAAAAGCGGCAATTTTTCTTTGCCCTTTCAGTGTACCCAGTAGCAAACTGAAAATGTGTATGTGTGTCTCGAATTATGATGGTAGTTTTCACTGTGATGAACGACAAAAAATCATTCATGAACAATAAATGGGACTTTTAATGGGTAAGGAGAGCAAAAAAATCTTGTTATCACCAACCCCTATTTTTTGATAGCCATTTTAGTAATTCTATCATTTTATTCCCGCTAGTTATACCCGCCAGGCGTCTACCGGTGTCACTTCTCACTCAGTAAACAGCACAAAGCCGGTCTTCTGTCTCTCTAATACAATAAGCATTCTCCCACCCCCTACACAGTTCATGACCACTTTTATTGTTGATCCATCGAGCGTAGATACAGTTTGCCATGTCACCGAAGCGGTGAATTATCAAACAGTGTTTTTGAACTCATTGAATTTGCCAGGCACGCCTCCGCGTAATTTACAACTGGAGGTTATATCGCTGCGTAATTTGAATCCACTTTCGTGGATTCGAACGATTAGTCATTGATGTGCTAATTCATTTTGAACGTGTGTAATTTTCAATCAGATTGGTATTTGCAGGGCCAAACGATGTTCATTTGTGGCTTGGATTTGAACACACCATGTTTTTCACAGGGATAATTAAGGTAACGATGGAGAATATTCCGGAAACTTACTTTTTTCTGATGTAGTCTCTCATCTTGTCTCGATAACCCGAGAAGACTAGCCAATAGGAATACTATAGAAAATATTTCTCTCTCGTCTTGATAAGAATACTGTTTTTTTCGGCGTGTCTGGCCTTGACTTGACTAGACTTTACGAGGAAATGTTATTGGTATTCAGAACTTGCAGTAATCGGTAAACGTAGTAAAGAAACCAGCAACCTGCTGTGCTCATAACCTCCAGTCGAAAGCCAATTCAGTACATATAGTTCCGAAAATATTGAAACATCGCATCGGATTTATTTATTCAGCAGTGATGCCAGCTTTGAAAAGCTGATTTATTCTGCTCTAGGAAAATAATAGAAAAATTTCTTATTAAACTATTTGAAATACTTGATTTTCATACCAAAACGAGAAAAAAAACAAGGAATCTTGTTATTAGCATACTTCATGTCATAATCATTTTCTATTATTTAAAAACCAACCTGTATCCATACAAGATTCTTGCTGTTTTGATATCACTGTCTAATTCATGATATTTCTGTCTATTTTCGTCGTATGAATAACTTGACAGTATTTCACTAGTTGTAGAAGTCTGAATTTTCAGACTGCGGAGGCAAATTTTTATCACCGAATGGAAACATTTTGCATTCAAGAAAAACACAAACAAGCTCCCGATAGAACAGTCTCACTACTAGCTTAGTAGAATTAGCAAATACTATATATCAAAGGATAATTCAAATTTCAATTTTGAGAGTTGGATGTGGGACATGAAATAAATAATATAAGGTTACTTTTTTCTTGGCTCCTCTTGTCATCTTTTGTCGAAGAAGGACTCTCCTGTCTTGTCTTGTGATTTTGAAATTCGTTCGAGACAGGTCAAAACGAAACAAGAGACCAGAATATTTTATCTTGGTGGTAACACTAGATTTTTGGCTCTTTGCGATTTTTGACAAATACACCGAAGGAACAATTTTACTCCAATTAAAGCAGCAACACCAAGCTTGGTGAATCAGTGAAATGATTATGAAAGTTGAATGGAGTGATATTGAAGTACAAATACCAGACTTTTTTAGTTATATTTTATCATTTGACAGTGTTTCATATACAGTGTGTAAAAGCTAAATGGAATAAATTCATTATTTCGGTTAATGAACATATTTTTAAAAAAATTCGAAACACGTCAAATGTAAGTTATAATTTAACATTTTTCAACGTAAAAATGCCATCTCTACTCCCAACCCCCTTCGAATGACAGGTACAACCCCCAATTTTTTAAATGGGAAGTATAAGTTTATGATATATTGATTTGAAAGGTCTATTCATTCTCTATTCAAAAATGTTATTGCTTTTAAGTTCATTACAGCAATTAAGATAAAATAAATTAAAATCTTGTGGTTACCGAAATTCGATAAAATACACTCAAAAACTAAAATGTATTGCAAAACGTAATGAAATGTAGAATACGAAAGTGAACTATGGATGTTAATGGAATAGATGTTTAAAATGTTCACCGCGAACGTCTTGGCAACATCCTAATCTCAAATAAAATTTGCATTATTCAACATATCAGGCGTGATCGACCTTTTAAGTCATTCAAATCTGAAGGTTTAGTTCTGTACACATTGCTCTTTACATATCCCCATAAAAAGAGATCTGATGATGAAAGATCAGGTGATCGCGCTGGCAATTCAATCGATCCTCGCCTCCCTATCCACCGATTGGGAAATGTTGTATCAAGATATTGCCGGACTTGGTAAAGTGGTGGTGCTCCATCCTGCTGAAACCATGTCGTATTCACTGAAACTTGAGGGTTTCCTGGAATTTGCTGGACTTTGCTAAATTACATCATTTTGAAGTAGTGCCAAATAATTATCGCCATTCAAGTTACCCTCAATGAAAAAGGCACCGATGATATGGTTTTCTACAATCCCTGCCAAACATTAACATTGGGTGTGTTTTTCTCTCATCCAGTGAGAATTTTCCATCGACCAGTAGCGGCAATTTTTCCGATTAGCATGACCGTTAAGAGAAAATGTACACTCATCAGAAAACATGACGTCTTCCAATTGGATGATATTGTTATCCAACATGTCCATCATTTGCTCACAAAAATAAGTTCTTCTGTATCAAAATCGTCTTCCATGAGCTCCTGAGTAGGTAACTATAGAAAGTTTTGTAGGAAATTTCACTCTACTTGAAAGATATTTGAGAGAAAACGTAACGAAAAATTCATGTAGGTAGCACTTTCAAACACGACTCTACATTAACAACTAAGGGAGTGTTTGAAAGGTATTTGACGGGTTTTTTAGCCGTGGTCTGTAGGTTTTTAGCCTGGCGTTTCGTTTCTTGACGTTTTGCTAATGAGGAGCCAATATGAAGGGCTAGAATATGATATATTTAGAAAGAAAACAAGCACGTAGAGGTATATTCCTGACTATTCACATCACTGTGTGCAGCACAAACGTACTGGGCTGAATTTTCTAGGGCATCGTATTTTGACTTTTCCTCTCACACATGGAAGGTTTACAAAAGAAAAACGTACAATTCAGAAAATTGCAGCCAGTAACGGTTTCTCGAGGGGTATTGTAAACGAAATAATTAGGAAAAAAACGTTTAGGTTAAGAATAAACGAAATCTCGACTTTTAAAAATGATGAATACTAAAATAAATATATCTTAGTTTCATACCACCAATTCACGAAGAACTTTGGAAAGATTTTCAAAGAACTAGGTATGAAAGTGGTTTTTAAGTCATACTCTACAGAGCCTTTTAGGAAGTCCAAAAGACAAAGTCGATAATTCGAAAAAGTCTGGAATTTACGAAATCAAATGTAAGGACTGCGATGCAAAATATTATGGACAGACAAAAAGATCTATTGAAATCTGTCTGTTTAAAAATCTGTTTAAAATCTGTTTTTCCGTTAATCAGCTGCCACCCCCATACGAACGACAACTCTCAGAAGTTGAGAAACTTGTGCGAGCTAAGGACTAACGAGGTCTTACCTTTTAACGTGTGATTCCTAACACGGTTGCAGAATCATTCCAGCTTCAACCAGATAAATTCTCTCGAGAAAAATATCTGGTCGAGGCGGGAATCGAACACACGACCTTCCGATCGTGAGTCGGACGCACTACCACCGCGGCCAATTCCACAACAAATAAGATATAAGAAACACTTAGCACACCTAAACTATGGAAGACTTCCATAAACTTCAGGTCATTAAGATTAGTTAGACAAGTTAACAACTACAGGCAGCTAGATGCCTATGAGAGTGTACAAATAAGTAAACATGATAATAGAATGAATAACGATGGTGAATCAATGCCTAATAGTATACTATATAGCTTTTCAAAATAATATTTTAATTATTAGATTCACCTGACTATCACATAGGGATACATTGCAAAATCAATTTAAGACTAGTAGGTATGGCAATATTGTAGAATTATTTCAAGACACTTGAGACAGAGGTACCTAGAAGAGGTATCTATGGTATGAATAAGGATAACATTGTGAGTATATTTAGTTCATGGTTCCTCTTGAAAATGATCACTTGGTGATCGAAACACGTATCGGAGTGTTGAAATAACGGTTTGGTGTTGGGAAAAAATCCAGTATTATTCAAACTCCAACTTTTGTTAAATATCGAGGTGTCGAAATTTCGAGTCTGTACTCGGAAATTCGTCAGCTTTGGATTATCCAATTTTGAATTCAAAACCCCGAATTTCATTAAATTTCCAAATTAATATTGGGATTCTGTTGAATTCCGGCTAGTGACATATTTATTCAAATACCAACACACTCATTCCGAAAACGTTAACAACTCTCCTAACCTCATTCATCACTTATTCATCAGCCGACAGGCTGTCTCGAGAGCCTACCCCAATTATTCCTGTTCAACCGTAATGCGTTCTTTGTTATTCCAGACACAACTGAACGGAGAGGCGAAACTTCTTCAGAACGCTTCGTCGAACAGCATGCCTAATCCGAACTCCAGCCAGAATGTCCTGAAGGCTCGCCGAGGAGTCATCAAAATGCTCATAATCGTCGTTTGCGCTTTCGCTCTTTGCAATCTGCCATATCACGCTCGCAAAATGTGGCAATACTGGTCGCCGAATTACCACGGAGAGTCAAACTTCAGCGCGCTCCTGACGCCTCTGACGTTCCTCTCGACTTACTTCAATTCGGGAGTCAATCCGCTGCTCTACGCTTTTTTGTCGAAGAATTTCAGAAGGTGAGTGAGTCGAATAATTGGATGCGATGAAACAAAATGTTAAAATGCTAAACAGTTTACCCCAATTCACACCAACTCTTCTACACGTAGTCATTTGAATACGTTATCTGTACTGTGCCACTGATGATAGATACAAGAGGATTTTTCCAACTATATGACGTCTAGAATATACTTGGATGAGTGAATAATGAGACTCTACGAAACTGAGTATGAAAATGTAGAACTCTTTCCACTCTTGATTCTCATCATGAATACAGGATATCTCACAATTCAAAAGCAGTATCCATTATTCAAAAAGAGAGATGACGAAGAATAATTGTGAATCAGATTAGAGGGTCTATTACAAAACATAGTTGGCCTCTAATCTGGATGCCACCATAATCAAGAACCTTACCATAACTTTACCGCTAACGAAGGTAACATTCAAATGCTTCGTGACAATTTGAGAATCATGTGGAAGAGCTTATCATTCTGCCACTACGTTTCCCTGTTTCTTCAATATCTTAACAACCTGGTCAAGTTTGCTGTAAAATCTGTAGCCATCTACTCAAAACATCTTGCACCCATTAAACAGCTTACAGCACACATTTATACCCTAGATTTCTTGGAAGTGTGTTTTCAGATGCCAGTGTGGATTCTCTACAGACCAATGATGCACTCATCACTCCTTTCTTAGAGGTGAAGTCACGATTAGGTTCTCGATTACGGTCTCGACTAGTAGTTTCAACTCTATGTTTCGTAATAGACTTTTGAATTCAAATTTCAACCATTTTTCATTGTATTTCTATGATTTCGAGTAATCAATTCAAACACTTCATGATACGTCCTGTAGAAAGAATAAAAATCAGGAGTGGGATAGAGTTCTGCATTTTTCACAAAGCAGCATTGTTTACCTGATCACAAAATATATTTTGAAAACATAGAATGGTTGCCAAAAAGTAGTAGAATCTAGTCAATCCAACGCAACCGTATCTCGGAGTCAGTGAGGCCAACTAAATATATTTTCGAAAGTTAGTGAGACCTGTGTTGTTTGAAGACTTTGTACAGTACCTTCATCAATAACAATCTCATCTGCAAGCGTTTGCACAACAGAGTGAGAATATTAGTGATTGTGTCAAACGCTCGAATAGGTGCAGGTTCCAGCTGGAAATTCACGTGTTCGTTATAATATTTGTTCTACTACGACAACAATTGTGGATGTTTAATATTCAGAGAAACGTTCCAAATATAATCACCCAACTACATGAATTAACGATATGTTAATATATTCACTTGACGTGAATGTGAAATGGTTATTCTCACATGATATAACCTGTGGCAAATGATATGAGCTTGCTTTTCTATAACACTTCCACTACTTCCATGATGGGCTACCTTCTCTTTGCATGCCAATTTACTTTCAACCCAATAGGAACGTCCCGTCTTTTTTATAACCTCATGAAATATCATAGAGAGTGAATTAAGTAAACGAAATAATGCCGTAGAGAACATTGTGGAACACATTGCAGAGGTAATTTTTCAAGTAAGGCATGATAGTGATCAACACACCAATATTCTCCTTGGTAAGGAATTTGGTCACATGGAGGTGAAAGTAGCAAAAACTCCTTGTATTTCGTATGAATCATTTCATATAAATCACATTTGATGACCTCGCAGTTGATGTCTTTCTTTTTGAACCGGTTGAGGTTTGTATCAATGAAAATTTTTGGGGTAGTTCATGGGATTGGGTTAGATATATTTGGGTCCGAAAAGGTTTGAATTGATGGAGGTTCAATTTATGTTGATACTGATTTCGTCTCTCGTAAAAAGAAAGGTCAACTCTTTTTTTTCAGCATATGTTGACGAAAATCTAGAGGCGATCACATTATGGTATACTGGGTTTTCAGGGTTTGTTATAATGGAGGCAGCATAAGTGGGGGTTTGAAACTGCCTTCGGGTTGGTAAAGATGGTTTTTCTGATTCACATTGGTAGCTTTTGGTTGGACTCGTGCAATTCTGATAGCATTATGAAACAGTATCCAACTGTTTCAGAACCGATTTCTTCGCCGAATTATATACCATTGATCCGTAGTCTAACTTTGATCTGATTAGGGTTCTGTATATTGTCATCAACATATTCGTGTCTGCACCCCAAGTTTTTGAAGCAGTGATAGTTTCATTTTCTAAGTAGATTTACATTCTCAGCTGAGGATGTAAATCTTCTGAGAAGGGTAACCGCTACAGTGATTCTGGAGCTTTTCATTCAACTAAAGATGGATCCAATGCAAACCTGACGATTTTCTTCAAATACAATTATAGAATCGAATGCTAGTTGGAATCAGAACATTTTTGATCCAACACCAGGCAGCACTGTTCTAACCCGAAATAGCGCTAAAGTGAATTAAGAAGTTAAAAAATGTTAAAACCGATGATTTTTTTTGTTCAAAAAAATCGCTCATCTGAAGAGAATCAAATATGGACTCGTCTGTATGACTGAAACATTTTCCAATTACAGAAGTTGTTTCAGTTAGTAATTTTTTCACTTCGTTATTTTTGATCTCATCGCTTGAATCCCAATTCGTTCAGCATCATTAGCAATAATTCTTTCTCATCAGTCGCTCCTTTATATTCGAAACATGTGTCGGTGATCCATCAACATTCGCCCTCATCGTTCCTTCATTTCATTTTCGCAAAAGGTCGACTGTTTCCGAAAATTCAGGATCTCGCGGACTTTGACAAAACTTCGCCATAACAGAATAGTTGCCGCGAGGACGCAAATGTCAACGAGAAGGGTATCGAATTAGAAAGTGACTGGGGAGTCATTTTAATGACATTCGAGTTATTCTTGGGAGTTCGGAACTGAGGCAGTTAATGAGGGTGCGCTTTATCTTTCAGATTATATATCTGAGGAGTTACTGTCTTTCCAGTAACGTTGTATGATGTGATGTAAACTGTTTGTTAAAGAGGTGTGGATGATTTAGTAACTGGTCTCGCGTTACATGAACTTTGTTCATGTTAAGTACTGTGGTATCAGCAAAGTTGAATTAGCTCTTTCTGAAATGCAATATTCTGCGAGTATATAATAATCCAAAATTATTTTCATAGTGAAGAATTCAAGCAGCTGGTGTGGTTTGCATGATTTGTTTTTCAATACAGATTAAACTGAATTGAATTAAAGAAAACAAAAAAAATTCAAACAGATAGTTCGATTTTGAAAAATTTAAACTCAACGAAATTCCTTGAAATAGCTTTAGGTAAAAACTTTGATTAGAAGATTCATTGTCAGATCGTAATAAATAATCTTGCAATAGGTGAAAATAAATTGACAAAGCAGGAGGACATACACTGCCATGTTACCAGGGCCAAAACAAATGTAAGGCAGCCCAAATATAGGTTTTATAAATCGCAAAACTCTTATTTATAAATGGCTTTGAAATTTTTTAACGTGTTACCATGTTAGTTTCAGACTTTGGACATGAGTATGAACACTTTTAAAGTGGAAATCAGGAATATTCTTTTACAGAATGCCTTTTACACATTCAAAGAATATTTTAATTATTTCGACTCATCAACAAATTTGTTGCGTGTCTAATAATAGATATATTTTTATACGTCAATATTTATGTATTTCTTTGACTGTATTGTGTTACATTTTTATAAATTTATATAATATTCATCCCATTGACGTATGCGAATACTTTTTATGCATGCATTGCACGAATCAATTATGTTCTATTCTATTCCATATGTTTTCTGATATATCTGTAACTCAGAAGAAGTTGATTCGAATAATCGCAGGAATAAAGAAAGGCAACTCATGCAGAAGCACATTCAAGGAAATAAGTTTTTAAATTCTGCAATCTCTTTCAATTAAAAAAAAACATTATTATTTGTCATTTTGTAAATACAATATTTCAGGAAATGCTCCTCGGTACTTAGGCAGGGAAACATTCAATTAATCATCATGCTATACAGGGTGTTTCAAAATTGATCCTCACCATTGGGATCTCGAAAACTATGAGAGATACGAAGATGCTTAAATTGGGGTCAAGTTGCACATTCACCTGACTAATAATATGCCATTGAAAAAGTTTCAAATTTCCTATTATATCCGAAGATATACGTGAAAAACAAAATTTTCAGAAAATGATTCATATTTTTATCCGGCTTTATTTTTCGAAGTAATCGAAAATAAATTGTACTTTCACATTTCCACTTTTTAGTGCTACATAATGGTGTTTTCAGATTTACTATCCAAAGTTTCGTCGTCCGGCCACCATCATCAACTTCATTTTTTTTCAAGGGCGCTACATTGGATACTTTCTCTTTTGAATGAAACCAGATTTTACCTTTTCAATGATGTATCATAAGTTATCATTCTTTCTCGAAAAATTGGAGATATTGAAATGAATTAATTCTCATCATAATAGGCTTTGACTTTGATATTTATAAATTTCACTTTCCATTTGTTACACTCGATGAGATTTTGTTATTGTACAAGTCATTAAATTTTTAGCGAAAAATGGCTTTCACGAATGAATTTATTTAAACTTGTATCCCTAAAGACGACAACCACATTGAACTATGTTCAAATTATTGGATCAAAATCTCACCGAGGAACAAACACGGAGACAGAATGGACCAGGAAACTAACGAAAACTTGATAAATGAAGTATGTATGTGTCCTTTTCAACAAAAATTATTAATTTGCAGATAAATATGAACCCGGGGAAATCTACACGTCAAATTTCCTCCGAAATGAATATTTGTCATATAAGTGCTTGAAGACATCTCAAAAAACTAAAATGTTACAAAATACACATTTCTCAAAAATTGCATCCAGGTGATCCAGAAAGGCGATTAGAATTTTGTCATTGGCCCATAAGAAGACCTAATTTTTCTGTTTTCCTGGAAAATTTGTAATTTGGACAGATGATGTAGGATATTAAACCGAAATAACGAGCACATTTCGAGCATAAACAACCCCAGGCAGTTCCGAGAAATTCGACCTCTAGTGCGAT